TGAAGCACTTCGAATATCCCGTGACTTTCCCGTTCTCTCATGATGCTTTTGCTGATGGCTGCGATAATCTAGCTTTGACGAATCCCTTCTTACTTACTGTGATCTGGAATTGATCAAGCCATGCTATCCCCACGACTCTGATTGCCTCCCATACCTAACTTGGTGCCCCTTCTGGACAAACGGCCTCCAACATCTACCTACATATTTCTCAACAGGTTTCTCTAACCGACGTGCAATTCAACCGGATTAGAAGTGGCGCTGGATGCGAACATTTTAAGCTGGGGAACTCTGTTGGAAGACGCATAATGCCCTTTTTCCTCGTTTCTTACCTGAGAGAGCTTGGTCATGACGACTTCATCATTGCATTTTACACCCTTCAGTGAAATGTTTGGGGTAATCTGGTGCCGGGCTTTATTCACCAAAAGACGAACCTATCTGATTCTCGGCAATGCAGCTCTCGAACAACACGTCTACCTCCTGCACGGCTCCACCTGTCTCTGCAGACCTTTTACAACATTGGTGGACGGTGGACATTAGTGGACCACCTCTTTCCATAATCATGCTGGTCTCCTAACTTCTCTCGGGTCTAATCCACTGTATGATGATCTTATTAGCACTTTCAGATTTACTGGACTGAATTGTGACGGAGTAGTAAACCAGCTTCCAACTGGCCTATTTAAGGCCGTTCTTCTTCGCTTGGTGTGGCTTCCACCATTGAAATCTCGCTCCGTTATTACCCTTGTTCCTTAAAGAGATCTATGCCTCGGTCTCTCTGGCATATGCTCAGGAGCCCAAACAATGAGAAACCGTCATTGAAAAGCTGTGTTGTCCCAACGAGCCTACATAGAACGCTGTTCAAGCGTCAAAGCTTCAAAATAACTAAAATAAGAGCTACATGTAAGGACAAAAGGGGTGTAACCACGACACGGTACCAGATAGGAACACCATGAACATTTGTAGCCGAACAAGCAGAATAAGTCATAAAAAATCGACAAAGCATTATATAGAGCGACTGCTACACAGCTGTGGAGAATGTCCCTATTTAAACGGGTTAAACTATCATTCATAGAAACACCGACCAAGTCCTGCGAAGCTTGTCTTGATGTTTCGGACAACCGAAGTCCTACCTCAGTGATAACTCGTTTGTTCTCCCGGCTTGTTCAATCGTTCAGCCGAGTCAAGAGCCTCCTTCAAAGAATACTAATGTATGCTATACGAAGCAGTGTAGGTCCAATTATCGACTTCCTTGGGTTTTGCTGCAGAGGAAATGTTTATGAAAGAGTTCGACAAGTTTAAAAAACAAACAATTTCTGCATATACTCCGAGTAAACTTACCCTTGTCGAATTCCGGGTCATATTTTATCGCTAGTTGTAGATCAGCGGACGCAGGTAGTTCGCCGTATGTAATCTGAAGGGATACGTAGGTAAAATTGCTCTAACATTCTCTCTAGAATCATTCATGTATCACAAAAGGGGCTAGGCATAGAAGGCATACGTTAAGCGGCAACAAGGTATTAACTAGATAGAAGTCAATCAGCCGTGCTTTGAACCTGACTCGAAACGTGTGAAAGAATAAGGAAAAAATAAAGGATAAAGCATTTGCCGTTGATCAATCCCTTTTGGGATGCGGCACGCATTCTACTTCCATTTGTACATTCGCAGTGGCATTTGAATGCGATGTGGCCTATACAATGACTTGCGGGGGCCAGCCGATGTACAAGTCAGTGTTTTTATCCTCCCAGACAAGTCTGGTACCAATTAACCGACCCCGGAGGGATGGAAGGCTTGGTTGGCCCGGGCGACTTATGACCCAGGATTGATCCCCGGACCGCTTGCGTGTAACGAGCCTTGTCACCTACACCACATTCCGCCGGTGTGAAAGATACACATCGATAAGTAATGGATAAACGTTGCTAAGGAAAAGAACGAAGTGTATTGTTAATAACGCCTTGATGCTGAGTTGGGCACATCACATAGCTACATTCCGTTGATGCATCAATACTCCAGCTCTGGACGACGCTTGTCATGCTTGCCAAACAGATATGAGGAGCTTTAGCACACAGCACTCAATGAACGGTTGTTTCAAGCAATTTGCGTGAACGAATGTTGGACTTGGCTATTCATTGAATCTCCTCCAGCGTGATTCATTTCGTATATTAACCTTTGATAGAAGTCGCTACCGGCAAGCATGAAATTGAGAGCATAATTGTATTTGTTCAAACTAGATGAGTAATGCTCAGGGTCACCTCAGTCTTCCTTTCTTTTCAATTTTTTGAGCTCGATGACTGCTGATTGTTTCTAGCCCACCCATCCCGAAATACGTTCTTTCGTAAAATACAAAATATAAATAATGGGCGAATAAATAAATAAATAAATGTGAAGCTCGATAAGAATATGACGAAGACCGAAAGATTGGTGGCTGATAGGCACTGAAGAGAGTAAAACACGAAACAAAACATGCACACGGGAAACAAGAAAAGGAAAATTTCCAGAAACACAATCTCGACATTAAACGGGAGCGCACTGGCCACTAACAATTGAATCTAAGAGTATATCATAATTTACCATTTTTGCGTTGTGCTTTCGCTCTGCCTCGTCAATCCAGCCCTTTTTCGCTCGCTCTTTTGCTAACTCGACGGCTGCCAATTCCTCGAATGAAGCATTATCTTCCGATGTGAACTTGTTCATGTAGGCATCCACTGATAACTCATCCGTTGCAGCTTTCTCCTTCTTTGCACCTTCTTTCAAAACCTTGAAGAGAACAGTCTTGACGTGTACAAAATATAAACGGCTCGTGAAAACAAAAAAAAACAAATACAGAACGAAGTGCCGCACCTCGTTGTCACCCTCACGATTAGCGTATGGAAGTGGTGTGGCTTGTAGCGAGTCGGGAGGTCGACTTGGACCTGGAGTGTCAGGATCGAAATTCGCAGGAGACGTTGGAGCGCGAGCCTGGTGTCCAGGAGAAGTGGCAGCCATTGTCGCTGGACTTGTTCTGATAAGGAAAAGATTATCAACAGTAAAGAACAAAAATGCATGTAAATAATACCGTCGATCCGTTCGACGACTAGTGTGGTAACGTAGCTGAAGTTCACGCATTTTTGCTATATCGTTGCGTTTCATTGCATCCATATATTCCGTCTGCGCCTGAGCAAAGAAACACATGATTTCACTTATGCAAGTTTGGACTATTGAAAGCAAAAACCCTGCGAGTAAAAGCTAACCTTGAGTTTAGGAAGATCAGGGAAGTAGTCTCTGACGATAATTTTTTCGAGTTTAGCTAGATACTGCTCTTCTGGAAGCACAGTACGGACTTCACGTTGCGTGTGCAGCTTCTTGGGTGACAGCTTTACCACCTTCAAACAGTACCGATATCAGTTAACAAGCCAATCAAACAATTAAGTTGCTATTATAATAATATCTCAGGAGTGATAGCGCATTCTGCACTTCGAATCTGAAAACTCAAATATTTACCCTTAGCTGATTTTAGAGCTTTCTCAGGATTTGGGTAACAACAGACCTGCCTATCAATCCAAAGTGTACACTTAACAAACACTCAGTACAGGTGCCAGCCAAAATTCGCCTAACAAAGCCCAGCCACTTTCGTGAGATCACATCAATATTTTTATGATTGATCCTCACTTCATATTCTATTCTATATTTATGGTGTACCTTCACTAATACCTCAGAAATTCTGTGCAAACTGACATGACAGATCTCGTATTAATCCCACAAATCACTTGTAACAACTACAACTTACAACTCATATCACTCACTTGTCCCATCCACCCCCGCCTCCTTATTAGCGTGTCTGTCGCAACCCCCTATCGCGCCTCTTTAATAAAGTATTCACTGCCTTGCGCTAACACACTGCTGCATCAAGCGACATATCGAGGATGGTCAACAAACGTTCCATCGCATTGCTACAATTGCCACTGACCTATCGGCAACGGCCTTCTCGTTACGAACAAACATCTCACAAATTATGCCATCATCACACTCTGTCTACTTTATAGTGTACACACAGAAACCGCACCAAAACACTCTTGTTTGAGCCTACGCAACGCGATGCGAATTCAAGGAACACCACCACACTATACTGATAGTACCTAAGTGCGTACCCGCGCGATGGCAAGTAGTACCGGCCAGGCCCGAAGGTGCATCGATCGAGTTCTCCGTCTATGCTTGATTTAACTATAGCATTTTACACGTTATTTCATTCTACTTATCGATTATCTATATTTATCATTTACTCAATCACATCACGAGCTACGGATTTGTGTCCCACCAAGGGATGTTATCCAAAAGAGCAAAGACCAAAACACAGAAACAAGACAGCTCGCTCACAATTATTGAGGGCCACACTAGATTCAATGAAACAGCCTTAAAATTACTCTTCATAAGGGATGTCATTTGTGCCAGACACTCACACGAAATGAGGCCCGCCCGTATTCTTCCACCACTCAAGAAATATTTTAAAGAATTTTTACAAAAACTATCAGCACCTCCAGTCCATGACTGACAGTTAGTTTGTAGGAAGAACGACGAAATGCTGCGTGTAAGCGATCGGGTAATACGCGAGGACGGTGTCCGGAATACTGAGTGACTCAATCAAAAAGCTCATTACCTACATACCATCTCAATCATGGAAACTATGAGCACGCTGTACTGGAATCTGGTGTGTATGACTAAGATCCATACAACACAATGTACGTCAGAAATTATTCACCCAATTCGAAACTTTTTATCACCATTTCCTAAGAATTCAGGCTAGATTTTATGGGATCCGACAACAACATGGTACGACTAATATTACTATCGCGAGTTTTATCTATTTAGGGGATTGAAGTTAGCCGTACTAGAATCAGACAAAGAAGCCACAAACACCTAACCCGTAATTCGCAGATAGTGCGATTACATAAGATACAGCATTAGTTGAGAGTATAGGCACATATGCTGTTCTCCTTTAGGACCAGCCGCCTAGACCAAAAATGGCACGACGTGAAAGCACATTTTTTCACCAATAAATATCATCTGACATAAGGAAACGCGCTAACAGCATGGTTTATACCGATGGATTTTTCATTAAAATGTAGTAAACTATAATTGAAAGATCAATTGTAAGACAAGGGCAGGAATTTTACTTCCCGGACCTCACTTTGGACTCAACAGTTGAAGAGCTGGGATGGAACAGTATTGCAGATCAATTCTGATGTATTATAGAAGAAACACTGATTCTTCACTTGTGTTAGTTGCTGGGAAATACGCCATGGATACGCTTCGAAAAAAATGCTCTCCATAGTTTGATCAGATTTTTTCATTAAAATATGAATCCTTTTTTTCCGATACCCCTACTTCTAAACAAGAGCAATTGATCCCTCAGCACCATTGAAGATTCGCCGTTCCACCTCTATTTTTGAACAATAAGCCCGCGATATTTTATGAACAACTTATTTTTACGATGCTACCAGGGTTCTTTAATAAAGACACTTCGAAATGCCAATCCTACCTTTCCATGATTTGCCGACTTAGGTGCCACGGCGTACTTCGCACGTCGTTCCTCATCATCGAATGAGGACATGATACTGGTTGTTGAGCAACGTCAAACCTGGCAACGAATCTGGTGACGATTCATGCGCACTTTCTTAGTGTGGATAGTTACCGATAGATCAGAGCATTAGTTGGAACTTAAGCCACAGCAATCACACAACAAAAATCAATAAAAATGTTTACCGCTTTTCTTAAAAAAAGAATAAAAGTTCTCTGTAGGAATATTCGTAGAAATATCATGGAAGGATACGTCAAATACAGAATCACACACCGACATATATGAGGCACAAAGCGCGATACCACTCACTATCAGCAAAGGCTGCAGGAGACAGCAAACCAGAGAAAGATTATGCTTGTGATCGTTAAGTAACAAAACACATTAGAATGGCTCGAATGGGTCATAGTGGTATATGACCATTTCATGAACCCGACTTAAATTAGATGACTATTATATATTTACAAAGCATATAGAGCATGCCTTTGAAGTTAAACGAGCAGAATAAATATCCTAAGATCTGGCATCTGGG